TTTTTACACACCTTTGAAAAGGCTGTTTTTTGTTCGTACTTTATTCACATGGACAACCATGAGAATTTCAGTAGTTTTCTGTTTTTCAAAGTTTCATTAGTAACTCTAATATTTTAGTTCATAGAATTATTGGATAGAATATAAATGTGTCCTTATTATGTTTATACCATTTAGTCGACAACAATAATTCATTTTACTCATTTTACGGATAAAATGTTTTGGAAACTTTTTGTGCAAATTACATACCACATTGAATACTTAAAGTTTCAGAATGAACAACAGCTTATTATCTTAGAGTTAGACACTAATGCCAGTTCGATGATCTAGAGGTTAAGCGTTCGCGCGCGAGACCGAAAGTTCAGGGTTCGAGTTCCGTGTTCGGGATTATGGATATGTACTGTCGAGGTGTCTTTTACTAGGACGAAACGAACATTTAGTACTTCCAGTTTTCCAATGGTGGTCTGACATTGACTGGTTCATGATGTCAATTAAAACTCAACAATCTCCGCAACCTTATACTGATAGTTTCGATGAATACTGCATATATATGAGGAATGTTTGATCACATGTCTACCATACAGTCACACTAAAAACGAACCATATTCATAGCTTGTTTCCTAATAAATAGTAACAGTATGGAAATAATGTGAATTTTTTAATAAACGGTATTAAATTTTATTGAATAACCTTAAAGAATAAAGCTCGAGAAGTGAGTAACTGCATTTCAGTATAACATTTCAGGATATAATTTATATGACACCATAATATCTGATCATCCAATTATTTGTCAGTTTATTGCCATAGATACATACTTTATTTCTATCCTTTGGCTTAATTACAAACAGACATAGTACATTTACTAATTGTAATAAAAAAACACCAGAAAATCTTCATTATTTGTCAACTATTACTTTTGTTCTATGTTGGAATATAAGATAAAATGTGTACAACTCATATAACTGAAACCTCAACCAGAAGTTCTTGATAAAAAACATAAAGCTCCAGAAGAATCAGGGATCTCTGCACCATAGAAAATGATTAACGTGAATAATGATTCAAAAGCCAACAAAATAGTAGAAATCCTGAAGAGAAAGATTCCTATCCTTGAATACAATACTTACTTACTTACGCCTGTTACTCCTCGTGAAGGAGCATAGGCCGCTCACCAGCATTCTCCATCCAACCCTGTCCTGGGCAATCCTTTCAAGCTCTTTCCAGTTCTTATTCATCTTTTTCATATCTGCTTCTATTTCCCGACGTAATGTGTTCTTTGGCCTTCCTCTTTTCCGCTTCCCTTTAGGATTCCAAGTTAGCGCTTGTCTCGTAATGCAGTTTGATGATTTCCTCAATGTATGTCCTATCTATTTCCATCGTCTTTTCCTAATCTCCTCTTCAGCTGGAAGCTGGTTGGTTCTCTCCCACAAAAGGCTGTTGCTGATGGTATCCCGCCAATGGATGTTGAGTATCATGCGTAGACATCTATTAATAAATACCTGTACCTTCTTGATGGTGGTTGTTGTAGTTCTCCAAGTTTCAGCTCCATACAGTAGAACTGCCTTGACGTTGGTATTGAAGATTCTGACTTTGATATTGGTTGAAAGTTGTTTTGAGTTCCATATGTTCTTCAGTTGAAGGAATGCCGCTCTAGCTTTGCCAATCCTCGCCTTGACGTCTGCATCTGAACCTCCTTGTTTATCGACGATGCTTCCCAGGTATGTGAAGGATTCCACGTCTTCCAGAGTTTCGCCATCAAGAGTGATTGGATTGCTGTTCTCCGTGTTGTGTTTGAGGACCTTGGTTTTCCCTTTGTGTATGTTGAGGCCTACTGATGCAGAGACTGCTGCTATGCTGGCTGTCTTTATCTGCATTTGTTCGTGTGTATGTGATAGGAGGGCTAGGTCATCTGCGAAGTCCAAGTCGTCTAATTGGTTCTGAGCTGTCCATCGTATGCCGTAGTTTCTCTCAGATGTCGAGGTCTTCATAATCCAGTCGACCACCAGAAGAAACAGGTGGTAAGTATTTGTTTTGTATAAATGTTGTACATAGTGAAATACTAAATTATCAGAAGGGGTTTTGTGGAGATTGTAGTAATTTCAATGGTTAAGATCATGAGTCAGTTGAAGCTAGACCACCATGGAAAACCTGGAGGCACTGGACGGCCGTTTCGTCCTACTATGGGACTCCTCAGCAGTGCGCATCTACGACCTCTCCCTCCGCGATATTCGAACCCAGGACCTACTGGTTTCGCGCGCGAGCACTTAACCACAAGACCACTGAGCCGGCATCCAACGGTGTTAATGTCTAACTTCAACTAATCCACGAAATCGATCGACACACCCACCATTGTCTTCAGTGAGTTACTATCTCACAACAGACCTGGTTGGACTCCTGGCTATTATCCAGTTTTATTTGTTTATTCATTTGAACACATATATATTGGTACAAAGGGGCACCAGATACATATGCGCCTTACAAATCTAATTTGATTTTGAATACAATGTTCTCCATTAATCCAAGAAAAAAGCTCTCGTATACAACCACCTCTATATGCTTTAATTAATTTACCCACTCTTATATAGTTTGCTCAATGAGTGTTCTATCAAAGATATTTCAAGAATACCATACAGTTTGAGCTGAAAATTTTGGTAATGTAGCTATAAGAATCTCAAAAACAGAACACCTTGTAAATTCAACCAAATAGATTTCGTGTTCAAAATCATCTACAAACTAAATGGAATCCTGCAGGTGACAAAGAGTTCACATCTCCTGAACGTTGCTGTAGACTTTGCTCTATACTTAATGATATTTAAAGTAAGCCTATGAAAAAACGTATTTAATCTCTTCCTCTACCATCGTTCTAACCTCTAGTTTACCATAGTCATCACCTTGATCGACATATTTCTACATCTCTGTCCTTTTTATTAGCAACTCATTTCACTTTCATCATTTTATATGTTCACATTATGCAATCTGTTTCAAAATTATTAAACTAGGATGCCGGCTCAGTGGTCTACAGGTTAGGCTCCCGTGCACGAGACCGATAGGTTCTGGATCTGAATCTCGCGAGGTGGGATCGTGGATGCGCACTGTTGAGGAGTTTCATACTAGGACGAAACGTCCGTACAGTGCTTTCAGGTTTTCCATGGTTGTCTAGCTTTAATTGACCCATGAATTCAACAATTAAAAAACTTTATTTAACTAATATGAAATTCCTAATCAATATTCAATGTCCTAACAACTATATCTTTCATTTGTGAAAAATAATAAAACTCATACTTTAAGATTTTTGTTTTCCCTTACTTTATTTAGTAAACTGTTGTCATTATTAATAAATAGATTGTTGGTTAAGGTTGTGAAAAAAGAGTGTACATTTGAAAATGGACAACTTTGAGAATGAATTAAACTAAAACAAGATAACTCTTCTGACAGCATCTCTTTTTGTTTTAAGTCTTAACTAGTGTTTTACATATGTTTATATAAATAGTGTATTTAGTCGTTGCTAAGCTTACTTTTACACACGATGTAATGAGTTCAGCCCATCTATTACTGCTATATGGTATATTTTTAATATTAAACTCTCTGCAATATATCGATAGCATCTCTGACTTGGTACATGGTTGTCAGGTGTCTGGGTCCTTTCGGAAAGATTACTAATATCCGCTGTTACTGAGCACTCAGTATTAGTTCGACTCACTGATGGATTAGGGTTTTCCATAATACTGAAGAAAATAACAAACCGGAGATCACTTTCTTTCATTGCTCTCGATAATATCATAAATGACAGTTAGGAACGAACATGCGGACAGTTATAGTCCCGGGCGTCAGGAACACTTAATTTAACAAAAAACTATGAGTTTCAATATCTACGAAATAATACTCAAAGCAAAACGGTCTAACAAGCGAGCTTGCCTGAAGAAATTCATTGACTAGAGTAGCAGAAGCAAACACCAAAAAACAAAGCTGATTCAATGAAGATTTGCGCCAAAGTATTATACTAACCGCGGAATTTCAGCACACAGAAACATTGAATTATGCAGCTATGCAAAAGAAACAGCTGAAAAACGCAAAACGAGGAAAGCCAACTGACACTGCTTACAAAAATGGCGAATATGATAATTCGCGCTTCATTCTGATTAATGGCTAAGTAGACTGCCGCAATTACGAAATCGAGTTGAGTTTAATTGCAACCAAAATCAGTCTACTATAGCAATTCTCCTACAATCAATTTCGATTATGGTTAAATTTTGGTGAGCCATTTTATTTACTTACCTAACAGGAAACGTTATTCAAACAGTAACAGTTCGTATGTTTCCTTGTACTGTTATTATCACTATCTTGTCTGTATAAACGTGTACTCTCGATCACATGACAGCCTACACACAAATCTCTTTAGCTTAAATGTTAGTCTCTTAAATATCGCTCAATGAATCATTTTCTCCTCTATGTATATGTCTCCAATCCTATCAACAGCCTTTGCCTTACCTAGCTGTGCATTATTCGACTTAACCATAAACTTGCCATTGTATTTGCTCACAAACACATATTCTCCTCTCTGCTTCAAATTCGCTTGATTTGCTCATAACTTTCTGATCTGTGCTATCCACTAAAGAATTGTAGTTGATTTAAACACCATTGAGATTTATATTAAAATGGTTAGCAAAGTGATTAATTATCTAAGAAAAGCCATTATACTACTCATGAGCAATAGAACCCCATGTTTAGTCTAGTTTAGATCAACTCATGAATTCAATTATTTAAACAAATATATTTATTTAAAAAAAAACTCACAAAACTGACCAGTAGAAATCAATGTCATTCAATAACCAATAGGATTTATTTTACATTTATTTCATAATGTAAAACAGTTAAAAATGAATTTGTTGTTTAATTCAATAACTATACTTTGAATTGTAAAATGGAATATAAAATTATTAGGAAAATTATATTTTAATCTTTCTTCATTCAGTTAATGTTCACTTTATTATATAATTAAATAATATATGCATCAGCTTATTTCAAGTTCATTTGATACTGATGATAACAGTACAGGAATGAATAATAAAGGTGTTGACAATAATAATGCAAATAATACAAATGATAATATTATTCGTAAAACAAAAGTAACCAACACAACAAGCGGTTATGATGTAACAGTTAATCATAATTTGAAAAGATCATGTAATTCAATAAAGAAAATATTTGGTCGAAGAATAATTTCTACATCATTTTCTGAAACAACTAGTAATATACATTGGAATAAATTATCGGATGATGATAGTTCATCGGCTTTAACATCAAGACTAACGAGTAATAAATCATCATATGTATCTTTTGAAAATTTATCAGGAAATTATACAATACCATTGACATCATTTGTTACAAATGAGTTAGTGACAACTACAATATCGACCGCAATATCATCAGGAAAAAATACAAGTGATATGAAAATGAGAAATAAACCCACATCAACTGATTTATTAAATGTAAAAAGGAAACTTCAAAGGCAGTGGGCTACATGTAGTTCATTGTGTAACAATAATAATTCTTACAATATTTACCAAACAATTAACAGTACAGGATTATATGATATAAATTCGATAACTTCAAATCGTAGGTCTGGAACAACAGAGAGAAAAAATAAATCTCGGTGGTTATCTTTATGGCGTCAGTCTTTTGATCGTGGGATCGATTCAACAACAAATTGGTAAGTAAAAAATATGTTGCCATTATTTATTAATAAAATAATTTTTGGAAAGATTCAATCAATTAGTCATGGTGTTTTCCGCTATCATTTCATTCCTCAGTATCCTCCTCCACCATGTTTAGTTTGAGCAAATGGATAGTGTTGCCAGGGCTCCCACAAAGTGTGACTCAAAGCCTCAATTCCAAAATGTCAATCTACTTACAAAAATTATGATGCACTCGTATAATGTACTGTAATAGCACATTTCGTCCAGCACAAATTGTAAGTCCGTTGGTACTAATAAGTATTGATGAGCTAAATCGGATAATTAGAGTCTAGTTCGTTTACGTAATTGTTACTTCATGTCTTCATTCACAATAGTTTTATACTAATTTTAAAAAAGTAATTGTGTTAAGAATGTTTAATCTCATTCATTAGCTACTAATGATTGACATCGAGAAAAATGAAAGGTATGACTGATGGAGCTCAATAATGTCAGAGTGGAATAACTATCACTAATTCCATTGAATGGTAGTTGACTAAAGCTGAAAATCTGAATCACTGGATTACGATTCAACAGTCTGAAGGCAATGTTCCTTATAGAAGGTTAAGATGTTCAAAGTTCAATCGCAAGCGTGATTTATGATGTATTTTGTTCCAAAGTGGTAGAAAATAGCTCTTAAGTGATTTTATTTTCATTGGTTATTTGTCTGAAGTCAGAAAATGGAATAACCTTTTCTTGAATTATTTCGTCAGAAGTTCTTAAAATAGTAATCCAATTCCTTTGCTTACATTTAAGCATAATTAACTGTAAATAGGATTTTTCAGCATCAGTAAGTGATGTCATCTTAATAAAAGGTTTATTTTTTAAAGTTAATCTAGTCTAGTCAGTAATCTGATGGAGTTCTATTAAACAAAACAAAACTCAATTTTAATATGTAACATTTATTCATTAGTGTTTCAGAAAACTCTTAGCAGTTAATGTAAAATTAAATGAAAACAAAGATTGAAGTCTGACACGTAAACCGTTGAGTACTGGCTGAATAATATAGATGTTAATCATTTGCCGAGAGACCTAAATGTGCTGAGTTTTGATCATTGATGGGCTAATGGAAACTCACTATGATGAGACAGCTATTCAATCCTTCTTGATTTTCAGTGGTTGTTTACCTTATGTTAGTTCGTAATATCAGTAACAATAAAAAACAACCACAAACCCCTATACTGAAAAAACTAAGATTCCCAGTAAACTTTGATTATTTTTAATTTAAAGATCACAATGATGCAAATGCCAATAAAATTTTATTCAGCATTACATAATTACTTTTTACCTATCAGTGTATACAGTAATTACAGAAACCATATTAGACAATATGTGGTGCATACTACTTATGCTGACATATATAAGTGGTATGTAACAGCGATCAAATAAGGAATGCTTCCCAGCAGAAGACTAAGAAGATTGAATTGAAGAGAACAGGACAGGAAACAGAAAGCAACTGTTATAACAACATAATTGAAGGAATCATGAAGCATGTGAAGCACAACTGAAGGAAGATATGCAAACAATGTATTTAATGTATGCTTTTCATAATTTTTGAAGGCACTCTGTTATTTTGCACTAAGATTAAAAACATGGTTATCCTCATCAAATCTACGTTCACCAGAAATATATACTATGCAATAACAAGGAGATTTATGAACGAAGAATATTATCTTCGACTAATTCCCATCAAATTCTATAGTCATACATTAAAAGTATTAGCAAAAATGAAGGGCAGTTTTTAAAATTGAAAATAAAGATTGAGAGCTTTTAGTAAAATAAGTTTGCTAACAATCGTGGACGTTAGATTGTTAACATGAAGTGTAAACCTTGATTATCTTATATGTCATTTGAAATGGTAAGAATAGTAATTGGTAATAAATACGAATAAATTATAGTGATAGAAATAATTGTTTTCATTGCTAACCAGATCAAATGTTCAATTAGAGACTGCTTAATACATGAAATAGCATCTTTCAAAGGTAAACTTTATATTTATATTTATTCATACAGCTCAGGACTTGAACTATCACATGAAGTATTGAAGGCTTATGGTGTTGTGACTGATGTAATTAGGTGGTGGAAGATCAAATTATTGTTTAATACACAATCATACCGTGGTTTAGTAAAATGTGAAAATCATGCATCAAATATATCATTTGCATATCTTCTTTGATCATCTCTTACAAACTTCATTGTTCCTTCATTCTTGTTCTTATTTTGATTGCTTTCAGTTTCCTTCTCTGTATTTCAATCTTCTCAACCTTCTACTCACAGACATTCCACTTCCGACCAATGTACATACTACATAAATAGCACCCGCCACAATCTTTCATTTTTTAAAACAGCCATAGCTATCATACAAACTACCTGTTCTGGATCCCGATTCAAGTAATGACTGACCATTATATATTATCTAAAAAATCAACCTTTGAACTACCTACAAAAATCTATTTTATTAGTATCAGAAATTATTTTCAATAAGTGGAAGATTTTGTAAAATGTTAAGGTAAACTTGTTTAAATCATGTTTATTTTCCAGTTGTTTATCAGATTCTTGACTTTATCGATCTATCTGTTACATATATACAACAGTAATTTATCACATTTTTACCTATTTTTTGTGTAAATATTTTACGTCTAAGCAAACAAATCACCAGCTTATCAATTTTTTAAAATATTTTTGTCTTCATAATCTATACATTGAATTTAGTCAACCTTATTATTAGTGTTAGGGTGATCCACAAAACTGATTGTCTAATTACTATACTGCTACTATGTTTAGTAGCATTCTAGAATTCTCAGGAAACCCAAGGAAATCTGAAATACTATAAAAACCCTATATTTTCTGCATTAAAACGAAACTTTGGAGTTAAGTACTTCTCGTATACTTTACGCCTTTCCTCTCATGTTCAGGTCGTTTTATAGTTCTAGCTTGGGGGTTACCTGAATAGCTTAGGAATCGAATATAACGTTCAATGAGCAAGACTTAGCAATTAGATACATATTTTGAGGGATTAAAAGTAGGAAAATAAAACAAATAATTGAAATAAATCAAATAATATGCAGAAACTATGAAATAGTTTATGCTTCATAAGTTTCAAACAATAACAACTATTGACATTAAATTTTTACTTTATCATTGAAGTAGTGGAGAAGATTTATAGTTCAAATGAATGATTTTAATGAAGTTTTGTGTCTCAAAGCTGAATAATTTGGTCATTACTTATTATTTACCGGAATTAAACAAAATGAAAATTTTTAAAAAAATATATTTTATTATGAGTAGTTCTTTTTCTTTATAATATTTTATATCTTTTTTTTTACATAGAATAATGAAAGAATTTCTAGTCATATAAGATATGTCATCAATGGTAAAGTTGATTTTCTGAATTACATAATGAAACTGAAAAATGGATTTTGTTTGAATTTTCTTTATTAGATTGAGTACCTTTTTTTTCGTATTTAGAAAAATAATAATTTCTGTAAAAAAAAAACAGCAACAAAAAACAAACTATTGAAAAACTAAGAAAAATCAAAACATAGTGTATATTGGAATTTTATACGCTCTAACTAGTTGTCAACTGGGTATAAAATGGGTTGTTTTTTTATTTTAAAAAAAATGCTTAATAATAATAACAACAACAAACGAACTTATGAAATTTTATATTCATTTAAAGTAGTGTGTTCATTTTTGGATAGTCTAATTTGGAGGCAAAATAAATAAATAAATGTAAATAAACTCTGTCTATTCACTGGTTTATCAAAATTCATAAATGGGATTAATCGTTTTACAAATGTATATTGATAAAATGAACAAATACATTAGATATATCAAATAAAGTAAGGCTAGAAAAATATGCTTATTGAATAGACATAATCTATTTCGAATAGTTTTATTTAAACGATTTTTGACTCGATTGAAAAGATAAATAACATATCGATTCGGAAGGGGTTTTGGGGAGATGGTAGTAATTTCAATAATTGAGATCGTCAGTCAGTCGAAGCTAGACTACCATGTGGAACCTGGAAGTACTGGACGGTCGTTTCGTTCTATTGTGGTACTCCTCAGAAATGCGCATCAATTCCGCTCAATTTCTTGGATTTGTTGAAGTTAGACATTAATACTGTTGAATGACGGCTCAGTGGTTTAGTGGCTAAGTGCTCGTACGCGGGACTGATAGGTCCTGGATTCGAATCCCGCGAGGCAAGGTCATGGATGCGCTCTGTTGAGGACTCCCACAATAGGACGAAACGGTTGTCCAGCACTTTCAGGTTTTCCATGGTTGTCTAGATTTAGGTGACTCATGATCTCAACCAATAAAACATATCAATTGTTAACTTTATTTAGTATTATTGTGATCTGGATAGGTCATATCGTTAGTTCCCTCGTTTTTAACTTGTATCCAGAAAACATCACACAGTGATGTAAACTTTGAAAGATTGTTACAAGAGTTCTTTAAAAACTTTTCTACCATTGTAGTTTAAAAATCAAAACACATGGTCAACAGACCTTTTATATATCCTTTATTTATCTTCATATTATTGACTTTAAAGATTATATTCACGTAAAGGTCTTCAATTCACCAATTTTCAATTTTAACGTGAAAAGCCCATACTAAAATAAAATTGCATAAAATAATCTGCTCATTACTCTTGATGTGTAGGTCAATTCGTCTGTAACAAAATATTATCGTAGCTGTTTGATCAATAAAGATCAACTTGGCTACATAGATGAATCTGTAGTTAGCAGTTTTGAATCCATAGTTTTAAAACTAAAAGAAATGGAGTTTGTGAGCCAAAACAACAGCTAATAAACAATGGTACGGAAATAGGTTTTTTTACTTTTCAGTTGAGACGACATTATTTTAGTCATCACGGCAACTGATTACACTTATCAAAACATTAAGCTGATTTATGAGTTGTTCGATATTACATATAGCTTTTGAATATTGAGTAGGAGCTGGTGATCGATAGAG